TTTCTATCGGTAAAAGCTTCTTTTCTATTCTTCTCACGTGGTTTTAATCCTCTTACATACTTTTATAATATTTTTCTTACCTAAAGTACACTCTCGCCACTAATGAGGATTCTGTTTCCACTTTTACTCCTTCTGCTTCAATTTCTCCCTTCCTTCCTTTCCTCCTTTCCCCTTTCCTCCTCCCCCTTTATCCCCTCCTTTTCCTCCTTTCCCCCTCTTCTTCCCCTTTCTCCCTCCTTTTCCCTTTCCTCCCCTCTTCTCTTCCTTCCTCCCTCCTTTCCCCCTTCCTCCTTTCCCTCTCCTCCCTTCTCCCCTTCTTTTCCCCTTCTCCTCCCTTTCTCTCCTTTTCCCCTCCTTTCCCCCCTTCCTCCTCCCCTCTTCTCCCCCTTCCTCCCTTCCTTTTCCCCCTTCCTCCTTCTCCTCTTCATCCCCTTCCTGCTCTTCCTCCTTCGTATTCTGACGTCACACTCTACACCTTTCTGGAATTTAGTTAAATGTAGGGAATCGTAAAATATAGTTCATTTAGTTTGATTCATTAACGAATTCTGTACAACAGCTGGTAGGCTAAGAACGGAACTACTGTATCTCTGTAGTTATTACTTGAGAATAGAAACTCGAGAGGGTTAGTTTAAATCTCTATGTAATGACAGGATTATAGCCCGGTTGTAATTACTGAATATGATAATTAAAGTGATATTGTCAAACCATAAAAGTTGCGTGGAACTAGATAAAAAGGGGGAATAGATAGAAATAAAAGATATATGTTCCAGTACGTGCTCGACCCACTGCAGTGTCATTTAACGCGCCAATATTCGCAACACCACTCTCCTGAAAATCAAGATGGAAATAAAGAAAATATCCCGTCAGTTATTTTTTCTATCCTGCATAGGTAGCTGGTTCCATGCGTGGTCTATCTGACGTTTTCCTTTTTTTTTTATTCTGTTGTCTTTTTTATGGATTTGTGTTTCATATATGTTTTTATTTGTGTTGTGAATCTGGAATCCGCTGAGGGTGCAACGTTTTGAACAAATTGTAACCTGTTTATTTGTGTATTCTTGTTTACTGCAATAAAGTGTTTGACATCTGTGTGGTTCGATTTTACCTCATTCTTTTAATTTATACGTCTATTTATGCGTGTTATATCTGTCCTTAAACGAATATAAAGAAAATAAATACACCGCTGACAGTACCATGACATGAAAAAGTTCCACGTCCAGCTGCCCTTCTTTTCTCTACATCTACAGTATATCTATGTCCGCTTTACTTTGAAACTGTGCCTGACTTGGCGAGGCGCTTAACTTTTGTTTGTTCGCCATTACTAATTCAGCAACCAACTTATCCTTTCTAATTTGACTTACAGTCAAAGGAGGTGTATCAGCCTTTTTATTCTCTCTCAGCCGCAGAACAATCGCATGTTCTTGTTGTGCCATTTGCATTTCCAGTAGCAGTGGCCCCGCATCGTATTCTCTTTTTGCAGGGGTTGCCGAGCGCCCTGTGTCTCTGCGTCCTTTGTTCCGTGTCGCGCTACGGTTTAAGGCCCAGGCAGTCGACCCAACTCCGGCTGAAGTTTCGTTTCGCTCCGGAGTGTGACTTGCCTTATACCTAATTCTAAATAGCGTTCTCTGTCTAAATCTAATGCTGTGCACGGGCGACGCGGAAAATCCACAATGCCTCATGACCGCCCAACTTACTGAATCCCATGACGATAACTTAGCGTATAGATACATATAAGAAAAGCTTAGACATATCTAGAGAACGATATAAAACTCTGATATCCAGTATTAACATTATACCCATTTTTAAAAAAGGTCACAATAGTGCAATAGACACAAAAACCACTATCAATTGACGGTCAAAAATCGATCGTTTTTTGACCTTTGACATATGATAAAATCTTGACCGCAAGGGACTATCAGGTCGAGTCTTGTAAAGGTCCATGTCAGAGGATATTTTCAACCTTCCACAGAGGATATTGAAGGATTTATAAGTTCCAGTTCCCAAAGGAGGTCCAGAAACATGACCTGACAGCTTTTATGGATATGATTGCCGACAGTAAATATGCTGGATGGTTAGATGACGTCGAAATCGAATAGTTTTTGTTTTTGTATTAGGAGGCATATGCGTCAGACCATTTAATAATGATATTGATAAATGAAAAGAAATGAACAATGATAACAATGAAAATATAGATTTTCACCTGTGACAAGAATGGCATAAGACTGACAGTGATAATAAGTATGACCTATATAAGCTCTCTTTAAGGACCAATAGCTACCATGAAAAGAAAAAAGTTAACATCTATTGCGTCATAAAAATGGTTATGGCTCCTTGGTACATCTCCTACCGCGTTTAATTGGTCCTGAACAAAGGGTGCGAATAGAGATCGCAGACGATATGCAGAAATTGAACCATTTTATAAGCAGGAACTGTCATCCGGCCCTAAGCATGACGGATCACCTCGCTTCAACGGCCGACCTCAGGGGCGTCGGGGTTTTCGCTC